TCGATATTGATTTGTTAACCCACTTATTTATGCATTCATTGATGGATTCTTGTATATGTTCTAATTGGGGATCATACCCACAACCTTGCCATATTGGGATGATGCTCTAACCAACTCAGGCGGGTACCCGGCCAGGGCTAAATGAATCTGTTTTGGAGATACTTATTCTGTTGCATTGGTTTTATTGTCTGTTCCCTTTTTTCGGGAACTGTTTTTCTCTGGAATATGTCAAAGTGTCTGGTAGGGCAGGTCTTCTTTTTGTTCTTCCTTTTAAAATTTGACTTAGCTATTTTATAGATTTTTAGTTTATCTAATTTTAAAAGTGTTTGACCTCAAAATTATGTATACTTTGCATACTGCTCTGTAACATACCTTATTTTTAATTTAACAATGAGTAACTTGAGTATATGGCAGATTATTTCCTTGAAGTGACATACTCATTTCACTTATATTTACTTTTTTATTTAACACTTTTGGTTTCCTTCATTTGTTCCTATGGGTTGGAGTTACCAGCTGGTGTCATTTCTTTAATATAATTTAGTTTCCACTACCTCCTTTGTGCTTTTATTGTCAATTATGTTACATTTCTATATGTTATAGGCCTAACAATAAAATTATATATGTACTAGAGGGGGTCCCTCAGCCCGGCCTGCACCCTCTTGCAGTCCAGGACCCCTCGCTCCTTACCGCCTGCCTGCAGTGGAGGTGGGAGAGGCTCCCGTCACCAGCTTCTGGCTGAGCGGTGCTTCCCCTGTGGGAACACACTGACCACCAGGGGACAGCTCCTGCATTGAGCGTTTGCCCCCTGGTGGTCAGTGCGTGTCATAGCAACTGGTCGTTCTGTTGTTTGGTCGATTTGCATATTAGGGTTTTATTATATAGGATTGTTTCATATACTTATATTAGAGGAAATACATTTATACTGTATATCTAATTACCTTTACCAGTGTTCTTTGTTTTCTTGTATGTATGTGTATTTGAATTTTTATTTTGGTTTACTTGCTTTCAATTCTAAGAATTTCCTTTAGTATTTCTTGTAAGGTGCTTTGCTAGCAACAAATTCTCTCAGTTTTTGCTTAATGGGAGTATTTTTTTTAAAAAAAATATATTTCACTGATTTTTCACAGAGAGGAAGGGAAAGAAAGAGAGTCAGAAACATCGATGAGAGAAACATCGATCAGCTGCCTCCTTCACACCTCCCACTGGGGATGTGCCCACAACCAAGGTACATGCCCTTGACCAGAATCAAACCTGGGACCCCCCAGTACGCAGGCCGTCGCTCTATCCACTGAGCCAAACCGGTCAGGGTAATGGGAGTATTTTTATTCACCTTTATTTTTGAAAGACAGTTATGCTGAATATAATATTCTTGGTTGACAGTTTTTCTTTCAGCACTTTGAATATGTCATCTCACAGCCTTCTGGCCTTCATTGTTTCTGATGAGAACTTATGTTGTGGGGTTTCCTTGTAGATGTTGAGTAATTTTCTCGCTGCTCTCAAGATTTTCTCTTTCAGCATTTTTACTATGGTATGTCTGGGTATAGAGATCTTTTCATTTATTCTACTTGGAGTTTGTTGAGCTTGGATGTGTAGATTAATGTTTTTCAGCAAATTTGGGTAGATAATATATCTTTAAAATGCATACCTTTCAAACTGAAACTTTATACCCTTTAAATAAATACTAAATCCCCAAGCCTTCTTTGTTTCAGCCCCTGGCAGCCACCATTCTACTCTCTGTCTCTATGAATTTTACTATTTGTTATAGCATATAAGTAGAATTTTATATATTTGTCCTTTTCGTATGGCTTATTTTGCTTTACATAATGTTTTCAAGGTTTATCCACGTTTTACCTTATGACAAAATTTTCCAGAATTTGAATATTCTTAGGTATTGAAATTAGGTATTCCTAATTCTTAGGTGTTAAAACTTTTTTTCTTCCTGACTTCTTTTATTTTTACTTCACTTTTATGCTGTCTGTTTTTGAATTACTATCTACCTAGTTTTACATGTTGTTTGTTTAATTAGTAAATAATAATCTAGATTAGGAAGTAAAACAAAATAAACTGCTTTACCTTTAAGAAGGTTGATGGTTAGAGCATCAGCCTGTACACTGATGGTTTGATTCCCGGTCAAGGGCAAGTACTTGGGTTTCCGGTTCAATCTCTGGCCTGTTTGGGTTCATGTGGGAGGCCACCAGTCGATGTCTCTCTCTCACATTGATGTTTCTCTCTCTCCCCCTTCCCCTGCATATCTCCCTTTTCCCCTCTCACTCTCTTTAAAAATCATTAGAAAAAATATCTTGGGTGAGAATTAACCAAAAAATAAAAAAGATTGATGGTGGTATGCTATGCTGCTTATGGAATAACTAATACATAAATTATATTGTTTTAGAATATTTAATTTGGGGGTCTTTTGTTTTAAAAAAAGTAAATTATAACATACTTCTCATTTGATTGTGATTTTGTGGAATTGGTGGTCCCCAATTTTTATTTTAAATTTCCTTTTTGCATATTTGATGGATTCTGATACATTTCTGTCAGTAAGCAAGGATCATTTCTATAGTGATTCCCCAGAGGGAGGTCATGACTACCCTTCCAATGAGTTAAATATACCCAGCTACCCCAAAGTCGTCACTGGTTAGTGTGTTTTAACTACATGTGGCATAAACATTTTTGTTCTTTATCAAGTGCTTGTGAAATTGTGCCATGTAACTTTTTTTTTGTCTAAACGCAATTATGATATTCAAAGCATCTTTTGCTCATGACCATGGCCTATCCACTTCAACTTAAAGCTGTTATTTTGATGATAGCTGCCTTTATTTATCTTGGAGTGGTTGCTGAATCGTGGCCTCACTTAGGATAGGCACTGAATTAATATTGAAACTGCTATCATTCTGTGTTAAACCTTTGTTTCTTGGAAGGTATTTGTGACTTTGAGGTACTTGTTATATTTTACCTCCATCTAAGGTTTTTAATAAATCAAAATTTTTAATATATGATATCAGTGGAATAAAATAAGCTCTATCAGTAAGTTAATCTTATGGCTATCTTTTATTTTCTGAAACAGAGACTCTACAGGGGCAGGTAATTCACTGGTCCACAAGCGGTCTCCTTTACGTCGAAACCAAAAGACCCCAACATCCTTGACCAAGCTGTCTTTACAGGATGGATATAAAGTCAAAAAGCCAGCATGTAAATTTGAAGAGGGTCAGGATGTCCTAGCTAGATGGTCAGATGGCTTGTTTTATCTTGGAACTATCAAAAAGGCAAGTTACCTTAATATAAGATATCTTTTGCAGTTTTTGCAGTAAACGTTTAATAATTTTGAATTTAAACTTAACTCTGTTTTTTATTTTAAAAGAAGTCACCAGTATTCCTCTGTATTTCAGATAAACATATTGAAACAGAGCTGCTTCATCATTTTTGAAGACAGTTCTAAATCCTGGGTTCTCTGGAAGGACATCCAAACAGGCAGGTGCTACTGTTGCTCTTGAACATGATTTATACTAAAATTTGATATTTTCCAACTTATCATTTTTGAGTGTTCAGTAGTGTATTAAAATATCTCAGAATCACTTTTAAGGAGAGGCTAAAAAAAAATTGACTTGACCTTCGTAGTCTTCAGGAAGTTATAATTTATATCAGTGATTTTCAATCTTTTTCATCTCCTGGCACACATAAGCTAATTACTAAAATTCTGAAGCACATAAAAAAATATATATTTTGCCAGTCTGACCAAAAAAAAAAGAAGGTATAATTTTGATTCATTCATACCGGACAGATATTGTTGTGTTGGCTGTTGTCATTTTTTTATTTGACAAATCTAAGGGAAAAGAGGTCAGTGCCCCTGACTAAATAGTTAGGTATTGCACATTTTAAAAATTCTTGCAGCACTCTGGTTGAAAATTGCTGATCTATATTAAAAACTGCAAAAAAAAAAAAAAAAGAATCACTCTGTTAGGGTACAGGTAGACTACTAACTACTAGAAGACAGGTGTGTCACTATTGTTAGGACCCTTCTAAAAACTTAGAAGAAACAGTTTGGGCTTCATTTTAACTGTTACTTGCTTATATTAGTACAAAGTACTATAAAGAGCTAATAGGTATTGAGGACATATTTTTTGTCAGATGCTTGGGGGAATTAGAACATAATAAAAGGCTGAGTACTAGAAATATTCATTAATAAAAATGGTTTAAAATGATCAATTATTTTTTAATGTTTATATGGGAAAATAAGTACAGGTACACCTTGGTTTGGTTGTAGGTACATTTTTTTTTATTGATTTTTTTTACAGAGAGGAAGGGAGAGGGATAGAGAGTTAGAAACGTCGATGAGAGAGAAACATTGATCAGCTGCCTCCTGCACACCCCCCACTGGGGATGTGCCCGCAACCAAGGTACATGCCCTTGACAGGAATCGAACCTGGGACCCTTGAGTCCGCAGGCCGACGCTCTATCCACTGAGCCAAACCGGTTAGGGCGGTACATTTTTTATACTTTCTATTTTTATAAACTATAATTGCTGCGTGTTATTTGAATCTGCTAAATAAAGGTGTTTTTCTAGGTATCTCTTTCATGGTAGGTGCTTTATTTTTTTTTTTTAAAAAGTATGATTATTAAAATCTGAGTACTTTACACACTAATGCAACACTTTTTAAAAAATGTAAGTTTTGCCCTAGCTGGTTTGGCTCATTGGATAGAGCGTTAGCCTGGGGACAGAAGGGTCTCAGGTTCGATTTCAGTCAAGGGTGGGTACCTAGGTTGCAGATGCCTTCCCAGACTGGGCCCTGGTTGGGGCGGTGCAGGAGGCAGCCAATCGATGTGTTTCTCTCACATCGATATTTCTCTTTCCCTCCCTCTTCCACTCTCTAAAAATCAATGGAAAAACATCTGTGTGTGAGGATTTTAAAAAAATGTAACAGTTTTTATTGTTGTTGTTGTTATTTATTTTAGAGAGAGAGGAAGGGAGAGAGAAACATCCACTAGTTGCCTCCTGCACATGCCCTGAAGGGGAATCAAACCCACCACCTTCTGGTGTATGGGACAGACGTTCCAACTGATTGAACCATACTAGCCAGGGCTAAAGCAGCACTTTTGGTTTTGCTTTTACTAGGTCAATAGGCCTGCACAAAGACCTCTGTTTTCTATTTCCTGTTGTAGAAAGGAGATATAAATTCTCTTTCCCTGAGGGATAGATGGATACCTTTCTAAAGTATTTAGCGATTGGGTTTTGTATTGGATTCCCAACTGCAACTTTATGATAGGTTACTGCGTGTTGTATGTTTTGAATCTGGAATTGATGGGTCAGTGAGAAAAGTGCTAGGAGGATAGATAGGATGTCTTCAACAGTAGTGATATTGAGCAAATCTTATTACCTGCATTAGGAATTTCTCTTTTTTAGTTTGTAAATGTAACTCTGTCTTTGGTGGGTCTGAAACACATATACTGCCTCTATTCCCTTCTATTAGCTATGTATCCCTTTCATCTTTTCTACCTTTTCAAGGTTCCTGTGAGTTAAAATACAGGTTTCTCAGTCTTTTGTCTCTTCCCTCCCTCCATTCCTTCTTTCCGAAGACCAGTGGTACACAGGGATAGAAAGTTGTAATGAAAGTGAGGGTCCTATCCAACATGTGCCCCACCAGTGAGTGCATCAGTTTAGTAGTCTGTGGTGGTTCTTTCCTCACTGGCTGCTTTTACTAGCCTTAGAATTACCAAGGATTACTCTTTGGCCATTAACTTTGTAATAGCTAGAAAGTAGCACACACATAACTTGGAGTTGCTATAAAATGAGGAAGTGAACCTGAAAATTGCATTATGACAGATTTCAGTGTGGAGAGTAGCTTTAGTAGTTTTCTTTCTATAATAACAGATACTAGCAAAATAATAATAAATTAGCATAATTTCACTCATGTAATAAGATTCCTTTGAACAGTTTACATAAATAAGGAAGAATATATAGTCATGTTAGTAATCAAAGAAATGTGCATTACAACAGGGAGATAACATGTTAAAACCATTAAATGAATTTAAAAGGATTTTTAATCTTAATACCTAAATACTATTTTGGTTTCTGGGAAAATGATACACTGCTGATGACAGTGTAAATTTCTATTTTGGATATTTAAATGGCAGCATTAAATGCATAAAAATGTTTTATACTTTTTAATTTATACAGCAGACTCATTTTAGCAGTTTATCCTAAATAAATAATTCAAAATTTAAAAAATTAGATAAAAAATGTTTACTGTAGCTTTATTTTAATAATAACAAAATATTTGAGATATCGAAGATGAAATGGCTTGAATTAGCACTGGCTTTTCTGAGGAACTGCCTTCCCCCACACCAGCCCACCTGGTTGCAATGGGAGTCAGATTAAGCACCTACCCCAATCTAGGACTATTGGTTCTTTTCCAGGGAATTACAGATTTGGACAGAGAGGTTCCAGGCCAGTCTGGTTGCTCTCCTTATTCTAGCCAAAAATCAGAAGATGTGGGGAGGCCAGCTTTAGTCAACTGTGCAGAGAAGAAGACAAACCCTGGGAAAGCAGGAGGCTAGAGAGGACAAGACACTGAAACAGACAAGGAAAAAATGCAAAAAAATGAACAAACAAGAAATTTGGTAACCAGTCTGTGTAAGAATAGAGGGTGTAATAAAGTAAATTTGGTTCTTTCCCTGGATGGAATATTATGTAGTTACTAGAGGCCCAGTGCATGAAATTTGTGCACGGGAGGGGGGTGTCCCTCAGCCTGGCCTGCACCCTCTCCAATCCGGGACCCCTCGGAGGATGTCCCTCTCGCAATCCAGGTTCATTGGCTCCTAACCACTTACCTGCCTGCCTGCCTGGTCGCCCCTAACCCCTCTGCCTACTTACCTACCTGATGCCCCTAACTGCTCCCCTGCTAGCCTGATTGCCCCTAACTGCGCTCCCCTGCTGGCCTGATCTCCCCTAACCGCCTCTGCCTGCCTGCCTGGTCGCCCCTAACCCCTCTGCCTCCTTACCTACCTGATGCCCCTAACTGCTCTCCCCTGCTGGCCTGATCTCCCCTAACCGCCTCTGCCTTGGCCCCCACCACCGTGGCTTTGTCCAGAAGATGTCTGGTCTAATTAGCATATTACCCTTTTATTAGTATAGATTTGAAGTTATAATTTTGAAAACTGCGGTGTAAAAAATGCTTTTTAAAAAATGTATTTTTATTGATTTCAGAGAGGAAGGGAGAGGGATAGAGAAATAGAAGCATCAGTGATGAGAGAGTCATTGATTGGCTGCCTCCTGCACGCCCCCAACTGGGGATCGAGCCTGCAACCTGGGCATGGGCCCTTGACCAGAATCAAACCTGGGACCCTTCAGTCCACAGGCCGACTATCTACTGAGCCAAACCAGCTAGGGCTAAAAAATGCTTTTGATAGAAGGAATATTAAATAGTATTAATGAAAAGAAGCATCTCACAGTGTAGAGCAGGGGTCCTCAAACTTTTTAAACAAGGGGCCAGTTCACTGTCCCTCAGACCCTTGGAGGGCCGGACTATAGTTTTAAAAAAAAACTATGAACAAATTCCTATGCACACTGCACATATCTTATTTTGAAGTAAAAAAACAAAACGGGAACAAATACAATATTTGTATTTGCATGTGGCCCGCGGGCCGTAGTTTGAGGACCCCTGGTGTAGAGTATGGACTCTAGTATATCTAGGTTTGAATCCTAGCCTTGATACTTTCTGACTGAAGGTCCTTGGATTAGTTACTTTATCTTTCTGAACCTCACGTCTTCTCTTTAGAGAGGATATTTATCTATAAAAGTTGTAGAATTAAATAAAATAGTATATGTCAGGAGCCTAACAATGCTTGGTTCAGAGCACAAAATTGAAATTTTTTTATTGTTGCTATGTGAATAAAGCATGTGTATGAATATTTTAACTATGTATATTTAAATAGATGAATAGAGAATATTGGAAATGTGTTAGAGTGATAAAATCATATTTTAAAATTTATAGAATAAAATTGCTTTTAGAATAAAAGTGTTTTAGAATAAAAATGTTTAAGAAAGAAATAATTTATCTATTCAGGTAAAAAGTAAAATTATTAACTGGGACCCCCAGATTTTATTGCAGTGGGATTTTGTTAGGGTATATTATTGGCACCAACCATATTTCCATATTTCAGAAGCTGAAAATTAAATAATTGGTGTTCAGCTCTTTCATAAATTAGTAAATAAAAAGAAATGTTCCAAACCCAGAGGAAAAGGAGTCATTGATACATCTTCCTTGTGCTTTTTCTTTAGTCTCATGATGTTAGGCAGTGTAGGGTGAGTGAACACATGTATATACATGGGTGGGTATGTGTTTTGGAGAGTAGTTCTAGTGTTGACAAAAACAACCTCCCAGGAGAATGGGAATATTAAAAATGAATGATAAAGGATCCTGCCTGAGAGCAGTTTAAATTATGTCCTCTGCCAAAAAGCAGGTTAAGTTATGAATGTAGATAGTTAGAAATCAGTTAGAGGTTAGAACATAGAAAGGGAGCAGAGAGATAGCATTTTGTGTATAGTACTTTGACTTAAAAAGAAATCATTATGATCTAGTGAACAAACATTGCCAATATAGGCTCCTCACTGAGTCAAAAAGTAGTTTTGTTAAATGGAACACTTTATTATGATAAATAAATAATAAAATTATTTAAATATTTCAGGAGCCACTGGAAGTGGGGAAATGGTCTGTACAATATGTCAGGAAGAGTATTCAGAAGCTCCCAATGAAATGGTTATATGTGATAAGTGTGGCCAAGGTAAACATTGATTTCTTTTAATCTTGTGGAAAAGTTTGTGAAGATTAATGATTAAAAATTACTTTACAATGTTAATTTGAAGCTGTTATGATAAATTTACTCATCAGTAGTAATTATATTAATGTAGGAAAAGAAAATACTAATGCATTTAAATTGTATTTATTAATAAAATAGAATTTGCTTTATGCTTTTTTTGATATTAAGGATATCATCAGTTGTGTCACACACCTCACATTGATTCCAGTGTGATTGATTCAGATGAAAAATGGCTCTGTCGACAGTGTGTTTTTGCAACAACAACAAAGGTATCTTTTAAGTGTTTTGGGCTAAAGCCCTAAATGGAATTTATAAGGCATTATCAACATAATGATTGTGTACGTTGAAAGTTTATTTGAATGAAATGAGCAGTCAATGCTGAGTAGAAAGAGGTGCTGGTTATTGTTTGGCTAATGATGCTTAAGTGACTTGCAGCTATTTTTGCACTTATTTTCTGATTGTGGTCTTGGAATTGGGGCAATAATTTGAAAGAAAAGCTAATAGGAAAGATTATTAGTCAGGCTGTTTTGTGATATGCTAAGAAATTTAGAATGGAAATGCCTTCAGAAGTTTCAGAAGCATTTTTAATTTATAGAATTGTATTTAAAATTTTATCCTTCACTCTTTTAAATAATCTTTTCCCTCTAATATAGAGGGGTGGTGCGCTTAAGAAAGGACCAAATGCCAAAGCATTGCAAGTCATGAAGCAGACATTACCCTATAGTGTGGCAGACCTTGAATGGGATGCAGGTCATAAAACCAATGTCCAGCAATGTTACTGCTATTGTGGAGGCCCTGGAGAGTAAGTAAATATAGTTATTTAATACCCTTTAAGTAATTTTTATTTTTTTATATTGTCAACTTTATTTTTGTTACTGATTTTGGTGTCGGAGTAATAGTGAATTGTAAATTTATGGAAGTATCAGTAAAGAAAATTGAGGGAGGGGAATTAGAGACTGTAGTTTTAATCATCTTTTTAATTAAATATTTGCTAAAGAAATGAATCAGTTCTAACTAAGAATGTTTAGGAATTTACCTTTAACTTCTGATCAGTGGTCCTAGTTCTGCTCTTTGGAACTAAACAAATACTCTTATCTCTCTGAGGAGGTAACTCTTAAAATATTTCAATCCAGCAATCACATTTCTTACTCCCATCACTTACATACCAATAATGTTCTCTTCCAGGCTAAAATCTCCATTGCCATAAATATTTTATGACATAAATATTCTTTATGACATGACTTCCAAACTGCATTTCTTGCTCATAGTTTTTAAAAGTTACTCTTGAAATACGGTGTTATGATTAGAAAATTCACTGTTTCCAAGAATAGTCTTACAGAAAATAATGGGACTATTAGAGTTCTGGACATTATACTTCTGTAATTGCAAAGAGAGATTGTATTACCTTTCTTTAGTCATCCCATCTTATTCTTTTGATTTAACTATTTAAATTATAATTATTTTTTGTGTGTCGTATGAGACTCTGCTTCTCTTAAGATGATGCTGTCTAGGAGAAGACTGGAACATATAGGTAATTGATGATGAATAAATGAACATATAAATTAGTGAAATTTTAGTTCTGTATTCTGCCTCATCTCTGATCTTAGGGACTTTTTGTGATTTAACATTTTTATAATACTTCTTAGTTTTTGGTCACCTGCACATTTAAGAAACTAGTTTTTAAAAATCACTTCTAAAATAGATACAATAAACTCATTTATAACTAGCATTTAGTTTAAAGCATTATTCAAGTAGGTGGAAAGTATTATAGACATTATTTTGGGAGATAGATCATTCATTGTTCTGTACCATGACTACATGAGCTGATATTGCTAATAACTAACTTCAGCACCTAGCAGAGTAGTTATTTGAACACAAGCACTGGAACATAGTTTATTTATTAGTCTTTGTTGAATGACTGACCTTACTTAGTATCAGTCTTCTTACCTTTGTGTATATGTAGCTTAAAATTTATGCGGGGCTGACTTGTTGAGCAACAGAATTATTGGGAGAAACACATTATTTGGGTGGCAAATAAGGATATCAATATATAAGAACCATGTAGTAACTGAAAAGAAAGGATAATCCTCAGTTGAAGGTTGAGTTTTAGCATCTTCAGCTGTTTAAAACAACAAAATCTTTCACAAAGCCTTTACCACCTGGTAGAGTCTTAGATTAGATGTATAATTATGTTAATCAGTTACATTAAATTGCTGTATAGTCATGTGCCATTTAACGATGGGAATACTTTCTGAATACATCATTAAGCAATTTCATCATTGTGTGAACATTACAGAATATACTTATACAAACCTAGATGGTATACACCTAGGCTATATGGCATGTCACTGTGACATATGTGGTCTATTGTTGCCCGAAATTATGTCATGCATAACTTATACTTGTTTCCATTTTAATAGACAAGAATAATAGAAACACAGTGAAAATATAGAGCTGCTTATGCCCATTTGATATATGGGGTAAACACCCGTACACATCAGTGACCTATGGAACTTCTCCTAGAGCAGCGGTTCTCAACCTGTGGGTCGTGACCCCTTTGGGGGTCGAACGACCCTTTCACAGGGATCGCCTAAGTCTAAGACCATCGGAAAACACATATATAATTACATATTGTTTTTGTGATTAATCACTATGCTTTAATTATGTTCAATTTGTAACAATGAAAATACATCCTGCATATCAGATATTTACATTACGATTCATAACAGTAGCAAAATTATAGTTATGAAGTAGCAACGAAAATAATTTTATGGTTGAGGGTCACCACAACATGAGGAACTGTATTAAAGGGTCGTGGCATTAGGACGGTTGAGAACCACTGTCCTAGAGTATAGAGTCAGTGTGAAAAAATTCCCAGGATTGTGTTTAGACATAGATCCTAGACTAGTGTAGGAACCAGGCACTTATTGACTAGAAATAGATGTATCTTTCTAGAGCTTATAAATTCTCATGAATAAGAGAGTTGAAGTGGTTAATATGAATGACATTTTTGAGAAAGAAAAAATTTAGTACTACGTGTAGTAGAAATGTGATCCTATAAGCACAATGCCACTTAAAAAAAAATACTTTACATCATCAAAAGGTAGTAATTTTAATCTTAACTTTTTTCTCATAGCTGGTATTTAAAGATGCTACAGTGCTGCAAATGTAAGCAGTGGTTTCACGAGGCTTGTGTGCAATGCCTTCAAAAGCCAATGTTATTTGGAGACAGGTGAGAAGGGCATTTGGACTTTACTGTTTGATTTAAAAAAATTTTTATTTAGCTTTTTTATTGTGGTTATATTTGCAGTTTTTGATTTCTAGAAGTAGTTTTAATAGTGATTTGTAAAGGAGTCACCTTAGAGGGAAAATATTGAGTAATATATTTAAATTATATATAATTTGAAAGTACACATAATTTTTATGCTTTTGGATATTATTTCAAAAGGCTTTTAAGTATTTGATTAGTGATTACATTTCCTTGTATTGCCCCACAATGTTCTAAACTATTCTCATTGGTATCTTCCTTTAAAGAACCTCAAAGAGATCCTGTGACAGAACATTGGAAAAGGACAAAGAAACTTGATACACACAACTTATACCTTAGACCTAAGAATTTCTAAAAGTAGACTTAATGTGCTTTCTGGATTAGGAGAATGTAGAATATAAGAGAGAACTCTAGGAAGACAAATTAAAGATAGAACACTAAACTTGGCATAAAAAAGTCTGGTTTTAAATCTTGGCTTATGCCATTAATTTATGCCATCTTTCTGAGCTTAGGAAGGTCAACATGTCTCTCTGATGTATACCTTTGATTACACAATAATTACAACTTTTCCTTTTTCCTTAGGTTTTATACATTTATTTGCTCTGTCTGCAGTTCTGGACCTGAATACCTCAAACGTCTACCATTACAGTGGTAAGTGAGGACATTTCTGTTAAGGAACAAAAGAGAGCCATATTCTTAAACCTATAGGATAAAACTGTAGATATATTTACTTGGTTTAAGTAAAAATTTGGTCATCTTTACATATAGCTTTATTTATTTTCTATTGTTTATCCTTAAACCTGATGTCATCTTCACCAAGGATTAGCTAATTATATTGATAAAGTTATATAGCCATTCATTTTCTAATGACTTTTTAAAATACCCTTTATATCTCCAAAACTCTTACTTATCTTTCTAGTTCTTTTGGGCCTTCAGAATAGCATATAGTAGAAGAAAGTTTTTATTATAAATATGCCAATTTCTCCTTCTGAGTCGCAATTCTTGGGCATGGGAAGTATAATGAATTTGGGAGATTTAATGATAAAATATTTATACGGTAGTTCCCCATTATTCATGGGAAATATGCCCAAGACTCCAAGTGAATACCTGAAACTTTGGATAGAATCAAACCTTGTTATATACTATGGTTTTTCTTATACATACATAAATACACTTTACAGCTTCTCTTTGAAAAATTGCCATCATCACTACTCTTGAGCTTTGTGTTCATTATTTAGTAAAATAAGGGTTACTTGAACACAAGCACTGAGATACTGTCACAATCCATCTAATAACCAGGATAGCTACTAAGTGACTAATGGGCAGGGTAGTTCAGCCTGGATCCACTGAACAAAAGGATGACTCACACCCCAAGGGGGACAGAGTGGGATGGCACAAGATGTTGTTATGCTACTCAGAACAGCGCACAGTTTGAAACTTAGAAATTGTTTATTTCTGGAATTTTCCATTTCAGATTTTTGAACTGCAGTTGACTGCAGGTAACTTTAAAACTTTGAAAGCAAAACTGACACTTAGGAGTACTATGTAGTAAGTACTTAGACATTTTTATTAAATGTTTTGCATATTTTAGGAAAAGATAACACTTGTGAATCAGGCAAAGTCTAATAAAGTATGATCTATACAGTAGTTTATATATAGTAGTAAAAACAAAATTTTTTTATTGTAAGGTGTTTTTTTTGAAATCAGATTCTTTTTTAATGCATTTTAAGAAATTATTCAAATATTTTTTAGTTTATAGTTAGTTTAGGATAAGTAAATGTTTAGTTAATGCTTTCCAATTATTTTCAATGTAATTATTTATTACATTATGAATATGACTTAGGATATTGACCCTCTGTTCACTTAAGTATTTTACATTGGATTTTTAAAATTACTGGTGTTATAAAAAATTGTGTGATTTCTTAACAATAACCAAAAACATTGTTTTTTGTATATTTTGATTACTTTGGATTCCAGGGTAGATATAGCACACTTATGCCTTTACAACCTAAGTGTTATTCACAAGAAGAAATACTTTGATTCTGAACTTGAGCTTATGACATACATTAATGAAAACTGGGATAGATTGCACCCTGGAGAGGTAAGTGGTTTTAGAGCAGACTTCATTAGCTACTTGATGTCTTTTTCTGTTTTTGTTAAAAGCAACTAAGACATATGTATAAGCCACCCATCTAAAGTAGAATTTTATTTTTAATTCAGGGAGAAATAATTCCTGTAAGGATATCAAGACCAGCCCTCTCATCCTCCTGTTTGTTGCCTGATGAGTAGGGGAAAATATGTAGGAGGAGGAAGTAAATTTCTTTAATCTTTCATATTCTGAAGTGAGAATCATTGTAGTTAAAGGTAGAAGGGAGGGAGAAATCATTATTGGTTACCTTACTTATGGTTCCTCCTCCTATGTTTTCCATCAACTTTAGAGATGTAACTAACACTCTTCTTTACAAATTTCTTGTTGGCACTTGCTTGTAAATCTTTGACTTCTGGGAATGTTAGCACCCATTAATAGTGTTAAAAGAATGAGTTAGAGTGAAGCTACCTGAGTTGGAGATTTTCTCCCTCATTCAGACATCTCATTCTGCTTTTCATTTGCAAAATATAACCACTCATGCTGGATATACAAAGGATTTTTTTTAAAGCAATATAAAAGTTAATGCACATACATTGAAGAAGATTTTGAAACCAAAGAATAGCACAAAGAAGAAAGTAACTAGAATAACTTTAGTAGTTATCTGGTATTTAGCATTTAGTTATAATTATTGAAATACGGATATTAACTACTCCTGGGTTAAATAAAAATTGTTTTATAATATGTGGAATGAGATGAATTTTAGTCACACATCACATTTTGAGGTAAAAATTGAGTAAACTGATTTGAAATTTAGGAAGAATTCCTATATTTGAAGCCTTTAGACATGTGGCAGTTTATAAGGTTCATATCAAATAGGACCTTAAGGGTTTTGTTATTATATTGGGGTTTTTATGGGGCATCCCAGAGAGCATAGTGCACATTTATTTAAAAGTTAGTTGGTGGGCTCTTCCGGGGACAGTGACTTCAGGCATTCACCACGGTCCAGCGTTTGACATACCGTTGGAGGCTGTCCTACAATACAGCTTCTAACAAAACTAGGCTGTCCTGAATCCCTGGTAATAGAATTGTTTGCCTTTATACCAAGAAGTTTGGGAAAGCACCAAAATCTGCATGTGGTGTGTGCCCAGGACAACTGAGAGGCATTTGTGCTGTGAGAACTAAAGTTCTAATGAGGTTGTCTAAAACAAAAAAACATGTCAGCAGGGCCTATGGTGGATCCATGTGTGCTAAATGTGTCTGTGACAGGATCAAGTGTGCTTTCCTTATTGAGGAGCAGCACATCATTGTGAAAGTGTTGAAGGCACAAGCACAGAGTCAGAAAACTAAATAAATTTTAAAAATGAAGCTTTTTTTGAGTAATAAAGACAATTAAAAGGCCAAAAAAAAAGTTAGTTGTTGGTAGATCAGTGGCATAAAATAAAACACTTGCAGAATACTTAGATTTTAAATCTAAGGATATTAAAATCAACTCAACTAAGATGTCTTGATTGTTAGAAATTGAAATATAAATAAGTTAAGAGTTTGTTAAATGCTTATTTTTCTGAAGTTTAAGAGAAAAGTGATTTGTAAATTTGATAAATTTTAATAAACTGATTAGTATAAAAGAAAAAAGTATGTGTATGGTGCTAGTAACTGTAGTGTTCTTTTTTATTTTGGTTAATCCTCACCTGAGGATATTTTTTCCATTAATTTTTGGAGAGAGTGCAAGGTAGTTGGGGGGGAGGGGGGAAGGAAGAGAGAGAAATGCACTCCAGCCGGGGACTAGATTGAACCTGCAACCCAGGTACATGCCCTTGACCAGGAATTAAACCCAAGACCTTTCAGTGCATGGCTGACACTCTGACCACTGAATGACACTGGCCAGGGCTATAGTGTCCTTAATAGTCATCTTAATATCTTATGTTCTAATACATTTATTTAAAATGTTTTTATTCTGTTTCAATATTGGAAGCACTTTGATTTTACCCCCCTCCCCTCAAAGAAATGCTTTTATTCTAGCCTTGTTTCTTCAACAGTTTATATGCAGATACATCTGATTTCCTGTTAGTACATTTGATGTTTTACATGATTAAATACAGCAGTAGTTACTTCATGTAGAGCTCAGGGGTGGGAAACCTTTTTGCTGCCAAGAGCCATTTGGATATTTATGACATCATTTACGGGCCATACAAAATTATCAGCTTAAAAATTAGCCTGCTCTATTTGGTCAAACATTTAATTAACTTACTGCTAATGCCTTGGCACGGCAGGACCAAATGATTTCATGGGCCTTATACGGCCCTTAGGCTGGACGTTACCTATCCCTGATGTAGACAGGGGCATACATATAAAAATTCAAGTTGTTTTATTTATTTTAAATGCTATGTTTTTTATTAAAATAATATTTACATTGTAGGTAAGAGGTTGAAAGTAGAAAACAATAAAAATAACAATTAGGCTATTTTTAAAAAATGAGTTCAGTTAATGAATTTCAGGTACTTAGTTCTTTTTTTTTTTAATATATATTTTATTGATTTTTTACAGAGAGGAAGGAAGAGGGACAGAGAATTAGAAACATCAATGAGAGAGAAACATCATCAAGCTGCCTCCACCCCCTACAGGGGATTTGCCTGCAACCAAGGTACATGCCCCTGGCTGGAATCGAACCCGGGACCCTTCAGTCCACAAGCAGATGCTCTTTCCACTGAGCCAAACCAGTTAGGGCAGGTACTTAGTTCTAGCTGAACTTCTGATACATATCAGAAGAAATTTATTTCATCAATAGATACATATTTTCATTTTCTGTAGTTTATGAGATAATGTCTTCGAAATAAGAAATTTCAATTTTTTATTTGACAATATAGAAAAAATTTTTATTTAAAAATTAAGGAAAACTTGATTACAATCAAATAAAAACTTTACAACAAAAATTTTACTTTTCTGAGGAGCATTTTTTTGAGCCATCAAATTATCAGAACAAATGACTTTTGAGTCATTTCTTATTGCTCTTTTTCTACATTAAAAAATTGTTCAGACTTCTTAGATTAGTCATATGTCCTCAGTCTGGTTATGTACAAATGGAGCTTCAGGTTAATTTTCTACATCTATCCTATATAATAAAAGCCTAATATGCTAAGTGTCCGGTTGTCCAGTCGTCCGTTCAACCAATCAAAGCATGATATGCTAATGATATGCTAAGGCTGCTCAACCACTCGCTATGATGTACACTGACCACCAGGGGCCAGATACTCAACGCAGGAGTTGCCGCCTGGTGGTCAGTGCGCTCCCACAGGGGGAGCGCCACTTGGCCAGAAGCCAGGCTCATGGCTAGCGAGCACAGCAGAGGTGGTGGGAGCCTCTCCCGCCTCTGTGGCAGTGCTAAGGATGTCTGATTGACGGCTTAGGCCCGCTCCCACCAGAGCCTTCCTTCCCCTGGCTGCCGGCATCGGCTTCCTTCTGGCACCTGGGACCCGGGCTTCCCTTTGGCTGTCTGCAGGCATCCAGGATCCGGGCTGCCCAGAAGGGAGCAGGCCTAAGCTGTCAGTCAGACATCCCCCAAGGGCTCCCAGACTGTGAGAGGGTGCAGGCCGGGCTGAGGGACCCCCTCCAAGTGCACGAATTTTGTGCACTGGGCCTCTAGTCTATAATAATAAAAGCATAATATGCTAATTCGACTGGACATCCTTCCATTTGACCTTCTGGACTAAGCCGGGGCTGCGAGGGAAGCCCGGGTCCCAGATGCCTGTGGGCAGCCAGAGGGAAGCCTGGTTCCTGGGTGCCTGCCAGCGGCCAGAGGGAAGCCCGGGTTCCGGGTGCCAGAGGGAAGCCGGTGCTGGCAGCCAGGGGAAGGAAGGCCTACTCTTGCATGAATTCTGTGCATCAGGCCTTCTAGTATATATATAAAAGCCTAAGCGACCGGCCTGCCGTCTGAACGGTAGCCCTGACATGCACTGACCACCAGGGGGCAGATGCTCAATGCAGGAGCGGAAACCATAGGTATGGTAACATGGAACAGACTGATGAATCTCAGAGGGGTGTGGGGAGGGAGGAAGGGAGGGTGGGAAGAGATTAACCAAAGATCTAATATGCATACTAGAGGCCCGGTGCACGGATTCATGCACTGGTGGGGTCCTTAGGCCTGACCTGCGCCCTCTCTCAATCCCGTACCCCTCGGGGGATGTTGGAGAGCCAGTTTCAGCCCAATCCCTGCAGGCCAGGCCAAGGGACCCCATCGGCGCAACGAATTCATGCACCAGGCCTCTAGTCTTTATATAATAAGGAGACCATAAAATTTATGCCAGTTGGTAATGTATATTCAGTGATTTTAATTTAGTTTACTTTTATTTATTTAATTTATTTTTTTAAAAATATATTTTATTGATTTTTTACAGAGAGGAAGGGAGAGGGATAGAGAGTTAGAAACATCGATGAAAGAGGAACATCGATCAGCTGCCTCCTGCACATCTCCCCCTGGGGATGTGCCCGCAACCCAGGTACATGCCCTTGACCGGAATCGAACCTGGGACCTTTCAGTCCGCAGGCCGACGCTCTATCCACTGAGCCAAACCGGTTTCGGCTAGTTTACTTTTAAATGTATATGATAGTAGAAACAAAGAATATAAGCAATAGATTATTTCAGATTATTAAAATAGTAAATCTTTAGTTTAACTAAAATTGAATTACAAATTGAATTTTGTCACTAATTCAAATTTAAGTTACAAAAAATTTCTTTTTGTTTATATTTGTGTTCAAAATTTTATAAAATAGCATTAACAACATGAGAAATACTGTATGCTGAGTATATTATTGGTTGAGTACCTTGGAGTACCCGAGGGTCATTTTGAACATCAACTCTTATTATACAGACTATAGATGATATGACATAGACACTTGCTCTAGGAGTTTCTCCTCAAAAATGACACAAAGCAGAGAAGTAGTTACGATTTTATTCTCTCAAATGTGGAGTTTTCTCCCTTATTCCATGTAGGTAAAAAAGAAAAATCTTGTAATGA